CCCCGCGCAGGCCCCCCTGCCGCCCGGGTGGTGGCTTTGCGGAGGAATGCTGGGGGTATTTTGCAATGGTTTCCCTGCGCCAGGCTGCAGTGGCCCGACTTCCCTCAGCCATGATGCCGCCGCCGTGGTCACGCGCGGGCGCGGCCCTCCCGGGCTTCCCGGTCCGGTGGAGACCGACTGGGCGGGGGAGGGACGGGACAGTGGCGGGCCGCCGGCCGGCGGGAGGACCATCTGCTGTGGGCTCTGGGGACTGGCCCTCGGCGCTGCGTAGCCAGCTTGGGAGGCCGCCCAGCTGCGGCTCGGAAAAGTACCAGGAACTGGCTTCCACGGCCCGAGGCCAGCGTAGCTCCACGTTCTCAAAGGCTCATTGTCCCCAAAATAGGCCTGCCAGGAAGAGCCCCCCAGGTGAGGGTGTGCCGGGGGAGCTGTCGCCCAAGTGGAGGGTTGCCCCGCTGCCTTGCCTCTGCCGGCGGCCGGGGTGCCGCACGCGCGGGGTGTGGGGCCCGTTCACGGTTCTTTTAAAACGAGCCAAGAGAAATGCTGAGTTTAATGTCTTACCAACTTCCTACACAGAACTGTGCTGTATTCAAGCTTTGCCATGTTTTATAACTGAAGCTGGAATTTAGGATGAAGAGTCCGTGATGACCTTTGCAGGTTTTGGCTTGGAAGGAGGGCGGAGAAGTTCTCTCCGCTCCTGTTGGAACACTAACCGAACACTGCCCTCCAGGGCTGCGGGAAAGGGGCCGTTTTGTAAGGCATTAGAGTGCCAGCAGAACGGAGTTTCACTAAAAGACCCAAGTTCCTTCAGCTCACTATATGTGTGTCCAGGCAAGGAAAGTCGGTGTGTTTCATCCCAGGTAACAGAAGTGCCCGAAATTCACTTTGTAGCAACAGCTTATGAGACCTGTCAGCTCCACAGCGGTGGGGTGCTGGCCCTGTGCCTCGACTTGCACACTACGGGTCCCAAAACCTGACCAGGTTGGCTCATCTCCCTGTTTCTCTCTGATGAAGTATTTATTTCACAGATCTGATTGTGTGACAAAATGAGAGTGTCGAGTTGCCTTAAAAACCCAGGGGTGCCTGGCAGTGGCTGACAGCCATGGTGACAGGTCAGGCCAGAGCCCGTCCTGTGCCAGCCCTCCTGCTCACAATCTGGGGATCTGCATTTGCACCCGGCTCACGCAAGGCTGGCCACACTGTGTGAGATCGGTGCGGTGGGCCTGGGTCACCTCTGCAATGGGGGTGCTTTGGGTGGGCCCACACCGTGCCCTCATGGCTCTGCCCCCCATGTGAACTCATTTGGTCATTCCCTCCCTCTCTGTCTGGTCAGCACCTGGTCTGGAGGACACCTAAGAGCAGTGTACCTTGACATGGGAGAGTTTGCAGTGGGATTTGAGCATTTAAATAGGTACGCGGCAGGAACTGGCCGGTCTCGGAGAAAATGGAAGTGAGTCACAACGTAACAGTGAGTTGGGCTCTGCAGTCAGGTTGGCCTCCGAGCTTGGGGCCTGTGACCCTGGTTAGAAGGGTTAAGGGCCCTTAGGTGAGGACTTCGCAGAGCGCTGTGCTGGGCCAGGCCCACCTGGGCCTCCTCTTCCCAGCACCTCTCAGGGTCCCTTCAGAATCACACTGCTGACTTTGCCCCAAACACAAGTGTCTGAGGAGGGTGAACCTCACAGGCCTGACCCCTTTACCTGAACATGGCTTGGGGTGACCACGCATGTGCTCGTGGGACTGCATAGACTGCCTTTGAGTAATCTGTGCTGGCACTTTCTTGCTGAGTCACAGAAGTGAATAGTTGCTGAGGGTTTGGAACGTGTGAGGGGTGATTTAGAATGACTGTGAGCACACCTGGTCTGGCGTGCTCCTGAGATTGGAGCTCTGATGCACGCAGTGGGGCTGTGTCTGAATGGTCTAGACTTAAGTGAATGGGAGGCTCCCCTCGTGTTCTTGTTCTTCTGTCTTGATTACCATCAGGTATAATTCAGGACAGTGAACTGAACAGACGCCAGCGCGCAGTTCCCTGAATTCTGACAGCGCACACGCTGGGGAGCCCTGTGTTCTCAGCGGGCCCACGTCCGCCTGACCTGGTCTCTGCAGGCGCTCTGCTGTTCCACAGCTTCAGTCTGCTAGCCTCTTCCATGGGTCATGAAACGGAGTCCTATGGTACCTACATTTTGCTCTTGCTTTTTTATTTGTCGTGTTTTGGGATTCATCACATTGCACATTGCCTGGATCATGATAGTGGTGGCCTACTTGTGTTCTGTTGTCACATGCAGCACCGTTTACCCATGACATCTGGTGGGAACATGGTGGGCTGGTGGAAACGGGCAGTGGGGGGTACCTGCAGTGCTGGGATAATCCTAAAGGGCAGGTCAGTGCAGAGAAGCTGGTGGAGGTAAGTGGTCTGCTTTCCCAGAGAGCAGCCTGATCGAGAACAGGTGCCTGGAACTGCCCCTCCCTTTGTCCTGGGTGATGTTCCAAGGAACCCAGTGCTGGGACTGTCAGTGCAGCCCAAGGTAGAACCCCTGTCACCGTCACCGGGGAGGTGGTGACGGTGTGAGTGCCTTACATGAGGGTCGCTACAATGGTTTGTACGTGGGATAAACACACAATTGTTGGAAGTGATAGTGAACTTGTACCAACAGGGACAATGATAGGCAAGAAGGCAGAGCCTGCGATGAGCTCAACCCCACAGGAAAGAAGGTGCTTAGAGGAAATGCTGGGGAGAGCCCGGAGACAAGGGGTCCCATCTAGACAGGGGGTTTTCCTGTACTTTCTGAACCTCTTCCCATCAGTCACAGTGAGGGCAGCACTGTGGGAGGTCCCCACTGCCTGCTTGGCAGAGATCAGGGCAGGGGAGAGGGAGGAGGGCTTCCTGGTGTAACGGGGCTTGGCATCCATGGGGGCTGGGGAAGCAGGGCGGCCCACGTGACTGCTTGGGGACACTGGCTTTCTCTGGTGGGTCCTAGGCTGGAAGTGAGTCAAGAGCTAGGGAAGCCAGTGGTTATTGAGGGAGCCTCCCTGCTGTTAAGGGAGGTTGTTGGTATCCAGCTCTTCCTCAAGGTAGAGGCCTGACTTCCTGCAGCCTAGCAGGCGTTCAGTGGGCACTGCGTGCTCAGCGTGCTTCCTGCGCTGTTGGAGTGCAAACCAGGTCTGCCGCCCACTCCCCCTCGTGGCATCCTGACCTCCCGAGACCCTCACCTCTGCTGGGGGGTGAGGGGCTGATTGTGCTATTCCAGTGGCCTTGGTTTGGACCCTAAATTAAATTAGTCCTCAGGCAGAGTTGGAGTTTTAGATTTTATTGAAAATACTACTAAAAGCCAGAGATGAAGTGACCTGCCACAGAAAAACCCTTGAAACTTAACCTTTTTCTCAACACGGTGTCTTTTTATAGTTTGACGTAATCTTACATTCTCAGTCTATAGGGTGGGGCAAAAGTAGGTTCACCGTTGTTCGTATAGGAAGTAATACAATAATATGTAGTAATACAAGAATCAACTTTTGCGCAATGACAACTGTAAACCTATTTTTGCCCCACCCTGTACTTGGCAATTTTAAGCTAGTGACTTTTTTTGTTGCTGTTGTTAATCCTCACCTGAGGATATTTTTTCCAGTGATTTTTAGAAAGAGTGGAAGGGGGGAGGAAGGCGGGAGATAGAGAAACATCATGTAAGAAAGAAACATTGATTGGTTGCCTCCTGCACACATCCTGACCAGGGCTGGGAATTGAACCTGTGACCCCTTGGTGTGTGGGCCGCTGCTCGAACCACTGAGCCACACCAGCCAGGGCTGTGTCACTCAGCTTTTAGAATTTTTTATTTCAAAATAATCCACAGGATGTTGCAAAGACATGGGCAAAGGTCACCTCCCCTGGGTGGCCACAGATCTGAATCAGATGGCATGTGTGTGCACACATGTGGCTGTGCGCTCAGCATGTGCATGGCTTGTGGACCCACCACTGCAGTCCTGTGCTGGCCATGCCGCCCTGTCTCCATACCTGTTCAGAATGCCACAGCCATGGGGTCGGTGCGCACCCATCCTCTGAGACTGGCTTTCTCAGGTAGCAGTTCCCTTGAGGTCCTTGCAGGTGCCATGGTTTCACTAGCTACTCCCCCACTGCTGGGGTGGGGGTGGGACGCGGTGTGGGCCCCTAGTACCTCAGGCAGGCTGGGGTGTGGGCTTATTCCCGGTTTGCAGCTGAGTGCAGCTGCTGTGGACATGCTTGTACATGTTTTTGCATAAAGGTTGGTTTTCCTTCCTGGGGATAAATGCCCAAGGCCGCTTAATTTGTTACAGTGTTAAATCCATGGGAGGTGAGGTCTGCATGTTGAAGTTCAGAGGATGGGCACGCTGGGCCTTGAGAAGGGCTCCTGGGGAGGGGGCCACAGCCAGTTCTCTCTTCACTGCAGACCCCCATTCCCAGAG